TATACAAAGAACTCATAAAATAGCCAACTGATAATGATAACACATAATTCAACCTAATTATGTATAAAAATTCAAACTTTAGTTTTAAATGATGTATTTTTACCTAAGTAAAAGATTTTTACTTAGCATTTTCTGTAAATGCTAGATGATTCCTAAGCAATTTAGAAAAATAGCAGTTGAAAGTGTCAGAATGTAATGAGAAAGGAAATTTAAATTGTACGTTTTATGCTACCTCTTCTATGAAGATATTCCTTGTGAAAAATTACAATTATAGATACTTTTAGATCATTATTAAATATTAAGTGTATCCATTACTAATATGTTTACTTGATAATAGTTGTGAACATATTGTTTTCAATTGTGGAAATGCTGTGAGATATTTTGTAGACTTAAATTTTTGATTAGAAGTCAGAAGGCAGAGGTGGGTGGCTCTCAGAGGCCAGTCTGGTCTACATAGCAAGTTCCAGGCCAGTCAGCTATAGTGAGACCCTGTCTTAAAAACTTTTTTCTTTAACCTTTTAACTTGGTCTTAAGTACTAAAAAATAGTAAAACCTTTAAGAGCCCAATATGTAACTAATTTAACCCTTAAAATAATGCTGCAACATAGGTTTCATTATCATCCTTGTTTTATAGATGATTCAAGGATTAAGAAGACATTTAAGGGGTTGGAGAGATGGCTCAGTGGTTAAGAGCACTAGTTGCTCTTGCAAAAGACCCGGGTTTGATTTCCAGCACCCACATGGCAGCTAACAACTGTCATAACTCCAGTCCCAGAGAATCCAGTGCCCTCTTCTGACCTCCGCAGGCATTGCATGACCCAGGTGCACTTACATACACGCAAGCAATACACTCCTACACATAAAATAAAATAATAAATAAATAAGTAAATAAATAAGCCACTTAAGGGGGCTAAAGAAATAGTTTAACAGTTAAAAGCACTGGTTGCTTTTGCAGAGGACCTGGGCTCACTTTCCAGCACCCACATGGTGGCGCACAACCATCAGTACCTCCAGTTCTAGGGGATCTATCGCCCTCTTTTGGCTTCTGTAGGCATTGTACATATGTGGTGCATTTAACATCATATATGCATGCACAACACTCATACACATAAAATAAAAAAAGAATTCACAGGCTGGAGAAGTGACTCAGTGATTAAGAGCACTGACTGCTCCTGCAGAAGACCTAGGTTTGATTCCCTACACCCATAGGGTGGCAAACAACTGTTCATAATTCCAGTTTCAGGGGAATCCAAAGCTCTCTTCTGACCTCCACCAGCATTGTATGACACAGTTGTACTTACATACAGGCAGGCAATACACTCATACACATTAAATAAAATTTTTTTAAAAAGAATTCACATTGGGGCTGGAGAGATGGCTCAGTGGTTAAGAGCACTGGCTACTCTCACAGAGGACACTGTTTTGGTTCCCAGCACCCACATGGTAGCTAACAGCCATCTGTAACTCCACTTTCAGGGATCTGACACCTTCTTCTGATCTTCACGGACATTGCAAAACATGAGTGCACTTACATACATGCAGGCAATACACTCATACACATAAAGTAAAAATAATAAATAATTTAAAAAAAAGAATTCACTTAAAGGTCTGAAGAGATAGATAGCTTGGCAGTTAAGGGCATATACTGCTCTTGCAAAGGACCAAATTCAGTTCCCAGTACCTACATTGGTTGGCTTACAGCCACCTGTAACTCCAGATCCCAAGGGATCTGATGCCTCTGGCCTCTGTGGGCACCTGCATGCACTCTTGTGCACATACTCCACACATATACACATGCACACACACACATGCATACATACACATGTGTGCATGTAACTAAAATGAGATATTTTTAAGAGTGGTTAGTAGAACACAAGAGTGCACACACACACACACAATTGAAAATAAAATGTTTTTTAAAAATAATCCACTTAGTCACATAGTTGAATGGTGGAACTGTCACTGTTCCATGCAGTGTAAATACTACAGCTCTTGATCATCTTTGTAGTGTGTGTGTGTGTGTGTGTGTGTGTGTGTGTGTGTGTGTGTCTATGTGTGAAGGACTGTATGCATGTGTGTATGCATGTGGGAGGTGTGCCTCTGCATTCATATGCACAGAACAATGAGTGTCTTCTTCTATCACTTTGTTTCCTTGAGACAGGATCTCTCACTGAACCATAAACTTGCCATTTTGGCTAGGCTGGCTTACCAATGAGTTCCTAGGATTTATGTTTCCACTTCCCAATGCTGGGGTTATAAGCATACTCAGCAATGCCCAGCTTTTTATGAGGGTGCTAGCTATTTGAACTTAGGTCCTCATGTTTGCATAGCAACCACTCTAACCTACTGAGCCATATCAATAGCCCCAATCTTTTTTTTTTTTTTTTAAGAAAAGAACTCACTATAGCCAAGGCTGGCCTCATACTTGCAAATCTGGCTCAACCACCTGAGTATCTTAACATTACATCCATGAACAACTACACCCAGTTGCTGTGTCTCCCAATCTTAACCTTTTACAATGAGGTAGTATATGGAGAGTCAGCCAGAATAAGTATTGTCATGGTTGACTTTGGCTGTCAATATGACATACATGGGAAGAGGGAACCTCAGCTGAGGCATTTCCTCTCTAACAGATTGGCCTGTGGCCAGATCTGTGGGGCATTTTTTTTTAATTGTTGAATGTTGTGGGAGAGCCTAGCCCACTGCAGGTGGTGCCACCCCAGGGCAGGTGGTCCTGGATTATATAAGAAAACAGGCTTAACACAGACCAGAAGAGCAAGGTAGTAATCAGAATTCCTCCTTGGTCTCTGTTTCAGCTCCTGCCTCTAGGTTCCTGCCTTGGCTTCCCTCAAAGATGGACTGTGATGTGGAAGCAAAAACCAAAAAAACCCTTCCCTCCCCAAGTTGATTTTGGTTAGTGTCTTATCACAGCATCATAGAAACAAAGTAGGGCGGAAGTTGGTACCAGGAATGTGGAATATTGCTGTGATAGACCTGACCATATTGTTTTGGAGAATTGTAGAAGTGTTTGGAGCTTCAGACTAGAAAAGCTGTTGAGTCTTCATAGCCTAATGGACTGCTTCATGGGAGCTTGGAAGATAAGAATGCTGAGCCTGGCGCAGTGGCATACACCTTTAATCACAACACTTGGGAGGCAGAGGCAGGTGGATCTCTGTGAGTTCAAGGCCAGCCTGGTCTACATAGTGAGTTCCAGGCCAGCTTGGGCTACAGAGAGACTCTTGTCTCAAAAAAAGAAAAAAAACCGCTGAGAAAAAAATGCAGATAACGGAGGCCTAGCTTGTGATGTTTCAGAGGGAAGCAGAAACTATCAGGGCCATTCATGTTATATATTTGAATTAAGAAACTGTGGTTTCTGGTCACCTGGGGCTGGAGAATCAGCTGTGATTAACAAAAGACCAGCACCAGTGAAGTGAAACCTTGGCTTTACTGGGACAATGAGCACTGGTTAGCTAGGGCTGAAAAGTAAGCTGTGATTAACAAGAAACCAACAGCATTGAGGCAAAAGCAATGTTAAATACTTTGGTTTTTTAAGAGATTTTTATGTCTTTTCCATTGAAATGCGTTGTTGCAATTCTCCAAAAAATTATCTTAATAAAATTTTAAAACATTTTCCATTTTAAAATTATGAGACAATCTATAATGTTTATATTAGGTGATGTTTGTTTTTGGAAATCATGGAACAAATAATTTTAGTATATAGTTTTTTGCATGTTATGTAAATCACAAATATTCTGTAGCCCATTGGAGGCATGTAAACATGGCTATGCCAGTAGACCCACTGTTAGCAGTTAGAGGCATGTGCTGGCTGATTGTCTTTAGTACAGGATTGTGCTTCCAATACCTCACTGTCACCCCTCCCTTGCATCCACAACAGTACTATGGACTATGGAGGTTAGTGATAGGCAGCCATCACATCCCTGCTTCTGACATGATGAATCAAAACTTTGGTACACAAAGGTCATGGGCTCCTAGCCAGGCATGGTGGCACATACCTTTAATCCCCAGCACTTAGAGGGCAGAGGCAGGTGGATCTCTGTGAGTTCAAGGCCAGCCTGGTCTACATAGTGAGTTCCAGGCTAGCTGGGACTACAGGGAGACCCTGTCTCAAAAAAAAAAAAAAAAAAAAAAAAAGGTCATGGGCTCCTATTTGAAAATACAGGTATACATGTCACCAGAATGTTTTGTAAGACTTTTTAGATGTACAGTAAGACCTTTGCTTTTAAATTATTTAGATCATTAATTCCAAAAGTTGAATTAATTCATGATAATGATCAACTAGTTCGTGTATTTGAAATTTTGGCAAAACTCAAATTCTTCTTCAAGTTTTTATTAACAAATAAAATGAAAGAAAATCGTGAATTGTTATAATGACTTCATTCTGTCACTGAAACATGGCCACCTGGTTAAATCAGTAAGTGTAATTGACATTGATTTATTTTTATGAAAATGTGTTAATAGTGATTTCTGTCCAAAATGATTATGGAAATCTCGTGGATTTTTATTTCGTATATTTCTGTATTCTTTTTTTTTTAAAAAATTCATTTAACTGATCCTTGTTTACATGAGTTAAATTACTTTTATGTTTGTTTCTGAGTTTCGAAGTCAGGAAATCATAGACATGGGATCTATATTTTAGCAAGCATCAGATAGGCTGTATCTAGACTGGATTGCTTTTTTTACTTTAGGTGTAAAGTGCCTTTGGATCCTTTAGTTCTGAGTAATAATCTCAGAGGAAAAGACAGAAAGTCTGAATTTCAGTAGTAGTGATTTATTCTAGCCAGCAGAGAAATTCTGAAAAGTGCATATTGCAGGAGACAAAACAGTCCCAAGTCCCAGCCAGTTTTGCTGTAGTTCTGCTCACAGTCTATTAGCATACCATTTTTAAATGATAAGTTTGGGGGCCTAAATTGATACCATTGGGTTCCTCTGCCATTGTAGAACAGTGAAGACAAAAGCACTCACCATCTTAATATTCACAGGACTGTGCTAAAGAATAATGATTTAAGATCAAGACAAGAGTTAACTGCCCACCTCACCAACCAGTGGCCTTCCCCAGGAGCTCTGGATGTCAATGCTGTTGCCTTGGATACGTTGCTATACCGAAAACACAATAAACAGTGGTATAAGTAAGTGTAATACTTTTTTTTCAACTAATTACAAATTTAGTTATACCAAAACATGTGGCTATCCACTTTGGCATCTCAGTTATTTTTCTGAACTTATTATTAGCACAGATTGGCTTTTAGGACTCCTTTGGTGAAATTTCCTTAAGGAGCAGATGTCTGACTGTTTTGAAGCCAAGGCACCTGGGGAAGTAAAGTGTCTGAGGAATTTCTAGGTAATAGTATCTTACCAGCTGCTTGCTTCTGTTAAATTTTCAGCCAGTCCTTTAATTATATCTGAGCTTGTTTTCTTGATATTTATTTTTGTGTTTTAGCTTTGGTGTTGTACTTGCCTAGAATTAATTTTTCCAATTGTCAGAAAAGACCAAACTCCAAACCTTAAAGTGCATAGAAATATACAGTTCTCAGTGGGTCTGAAATAATTTTATTACAATAAGTCTAAATTTTTTTACAGTAAGTCAAATTTTTAGGAGATATAAAAAATAATTGCTTCACCTGTGGGCCACAGACTCTTTTCCTTTGTCTTTGTCCTAATGTTCAGACTTTCATTTGGTTACGGAGTCTTAGGATTGAATGAGCTAAAAATCTTAAATAATCTTCATTTTGAAAAAAGCTGTATCAGCATCTTTGTGCTTTTCGCCACTTTCCATCTTAGTCATTTATTTTTACTTTATTTCCTGTTCAGTTAATTTTCTCTTTTCCCCAATATTCTCTTCTTGCACCCCCTTAGCTTGCTTTTTTCTATTTCTCCTTTTCTTTTTCCATCTTCCCACCTTCTCCCCCACCCCCATTTATTTCTCTACTCTTCTGTGTAATTCCTTTGCTTAGGTGTCACTGGTAGAACCACACACTTGTGTTTCTTAGGGTGCCCTGCTAGGTCATGAGTCACTGTAGGTTTCTGTCTGTGGAGCACTGATCTAGATTGTGTGCTTCTTGACTCAGTTACTCCATCAGATACGTTTTAGCACAGGCATAGCTTCCAACTTCTTTATTCTGTGTTTGTGGTTGTTCTTGAATTCAAAGAATTCAAACTAAATTTGACCTTTTGTTTTTAAAAGTTTTGCTAGAGGCTTTAATGGCTTTATTGTTTCATTGATTATTTGATATAAGTAGAGGTGAGTAGATTCTTTTTGGACTAAAACAGTAGAACGCTCTCATTTGCTAAATTGTGCTTCTTAGAAGTATGACTCAAGGTGTTGGCTTTGGATAGTTCATTGATTAGAATATAGTTCCTTTACATACTCATAAAAGTTTTGAGTAATCTATGCTAAGTATCACTCTACCCTTCTGTGTCATACTGAATTAATAGAATAATATTTATATTTCAAACTTCTGATTAAAAAAACATAATTTATAGAAATACTTGGTATATTTACATTATATATAATTCATGAGACACCCTTACATTTTTTACTTCACGATTTTGTGGCAGATTTTACAAGGGAACTGACACTGATTCTAGCCACCCCAACAGCTATCAAAGTGCCTGAAAACAAATCCTGAGTCCATCACTCTAAGGTCCAGCCTTGGCAGACAAAAGAAAAATGAAGAGGAACCCAATAGAGGGATGCTTTTGGAAGTTCCCATCAAGAAATTCCAATGGACTCTGATATGAATATTTGAAATTTGCCATGTTCTGACCTTTTTCTGGTTCCCTGTCTAGAACTTGTAATGCTAACTACTCTTGCCTTTACTTCTCCTTCACATTTCCTAGGCACCAGTCAAGGACTTTTCTCCCTACAGTTAAGAGTTACACATTTTGGGAGTGTTTTAGATAGACCCATTGAAGGGGTACCCCAGTTGCCTTACCCTGTGCCCCTGTTCTGCATGGAAGAAGTCAGAGCGGTCTGTGTCCCGATTCCCTGTTGGCAATTTGGGTAACCTCTTCAGGGGATGGTGTGATAAGAATAGGAGGTAGGAAATGGCTAGGCAATTAGGGTAAAAAAGACCCCAAAGAAAAGTAGCCAGTTTCTTGACTAAAAATCAAAATGTCATTGGGCCTCTTAGCAACATACTCTGTTCCAAAGGCCAAAAATGTCAAAAGTATTTGGGAGC